TGGTTGTTTTCTAACTGTTTGTTATGTGGTCATCAATAATAAAAGACCCGTATGTTTGTCTCAATCTGATCTAATAAATAGAACTACAACCATTTAATGCTAATTCTTTAATATGTGCGCTAGCTGTAATGTAGTGACCGTAAATTTGTATGGATCTTTTTCAAGTTGATGGTTGACTACGAACAACTTCATCAATATCTGTAGAATTTTAACAAGGTTCCAATTCTAGACAATTTCGTTGAATCTAACAGTTGGTCAACCCGCGTATTTCGGTGTAGAGAAGAACCATTCTATGGATTATTATCAAAGTGGGTCTACGTTTGAAAACTTAAATGCTAGCGTTCCTTTTCGTGCAATTTCAAAATCCAAACTCATCGTAAATACTTGTAAATGAAAAATCTTATTTCTTTTGTTTTCTTATGAAGTTAATAAATTTTACAAAAACTTTTATGCAATTTTTGACTAAAATATTTGTGATTGTGAAATTCAACTAGAAATTAATGTATTGCAGTCTTTATCCTTAAGAGTTCGAAATAATATAACTTTATTTAATTTAATAAATAATTTAGGCAAAATAAACTATTGATGACCTAAGTTTTTTTCGAAAATATTATTTTCACATATTGTGTTGTGTCTATTTCTAGCTGCATGCAAAACATGCACACTTTCTATTACACCATAGAATTCTTGTTTGAAAATGTAACCAAATCATCTTCTCTTGATTAAAAATTGTACTATTACGATAAATTATCTAAATGTTTAAATCGTTAAGTAGTGCGTACTTCTAAGTGCTTATTTGATAAAAATTTATCAACTTTTCAAATGGACAAACCTCAATTTTGTTTATATAATTTAAGGAAGTCACTACTTTTCAACTACACGACTTTTTATCAAAATCTGCTAAAACTATTATTAAAAAAACTTTTGTCACACAAACCCAAATATTTAACAACACGTTATAAGTAGGGTTTATTCAAAGTAATATAAGCATAAATTAATAGTACTACAATATAAATGTTACAAGCGAGTTGAAGAATGAGATACTGCTATATATCTCACAAAAAGAAAGCCAATTAACAACCACTCAAGATCAAAACAAGGCTAAAGCAAAGAACAAAAGACATAAGCTTAAACACCTACGAAATGTGTGGATAATTCTTCGAGAACGGGTTAGAATTCAGAAATTTTCTTAAGGCTCCTGTTTAGGGTAAAAAGAGGGAATCATATCTTGCAGAAGCCCATATTCAGGAAGTTGAGGTTGAGGCTGCTGCAGTGTTGTTAAATTTTGTTGATCATAGACATTATTTACACTGCCATAATTGTAGAGATGGTCATTAGTCATTTGGTGAAGCTGTAACAAGTGTTCAGGAAAACTTGTCCCTTGGAGTGGTATTCGTGGCGTTAGCATAGAAGAAGGAAACATTCCGCCAACGTTTCCTCTGAGAGTTGTCGGTACGTGGTGGTTGTGTTGACCTTCGTACGTCGTGATAACAGTTGAAGGATCTTGATATGATCTCTCTACACGCTTCTTCACCAAGCATTTTTGAGTCGTACATCTATAGTAGCTTCTGCATTAATGGAGTTAAAGTTAAAAGGTTTGAACCTCACATTTATTTTATCATATGAAAGGTCCAAATGCATGGCGTATTCCATGAAGTAATGTTATTCATAGTCCACGATTGCGGTAATCATCCTATGTGACAGTTTGTTACTTGAGGAATTAACTTGTTATTTAAGACAACATAATTATAGGAAATTAATACATCTGCAGTTGCTGACTATAAATAGCATTACCATATTCAGAATAATTCAGTTGTAGCTTTCGCGTAAGAGTTAATATTACATTCATTCTTTTGAAGGTAATTTGTAAATGCGACTATTGCTGAGAACCCTTTAAAGACTGAATTCCAAAACCTCCTTTCTAATTCGTTCCACTCGAATTTTAAAACACGAGGAGAGTAAGAAAATCCTTATAGCCTTGTCATGTTAAACGCTGGTCATGACTCAAAACATTCTTCTTAAGTTGCACTCATGTACGAGATTTAAGATTTGATAAATATTCGTAGAGTTGATCATACTTAGAATAAGAAGTTAAATCGCTTGATTAAGTGAGAATTAGTATGTGTTGAAATTCGACTATTACTTAGCATGATTTAGGATCAAATTAAAGAGTTTTCAGTTTAATATGAATTAATGGAATCATACCTTGGATACGGACTATTCTTCACAGCTTTTTGTCCATATTTTCTCCATCTATATCCATCTTCTAAATGATCGACCTCACTCTTTGTCTTGAAAGCAAATCGTGGCTCCCGTTGCTTCTTCTCTCCTTTCTTCTTCGCTTTAGCTCTAAATTTAACATAGTCAAAGAAATAAAGGATAACAAACTTCATATATATTTTTTAAAATTGAATTAAATTAACACAAGTCTGGAAGGTTATTCACCTCGATCCAATAGGGATTAGATAAAAGGAAAAAAATAAAAAATAAAAAATTCTTGTTACTAAACTTACTCTTTCTTAGAGCTGTTTTCTCCTTCTTCCACACACACCTTCTGTTGATTCTCTTTCTTGCACTTGTTTGAATCTTCATCACCAGCCGCCTCGGTTGAGGATGACGAGATCGAAGAATTAGGCGTAGCCGGAGTTTCAGTACCACCGACAAGATCTCCACCTCCACCTCCACCTCCGCCTCTGCCATCCACCCCCACTGGTACCTCAGAGGTTGACGGGGTCAAACCAAAAGCTCTTGTAAGTGTGTTGTCGTTATCGGATCCATGCAAAAACTCCCCATAGCTAATATATGAAGAAGGATCAAACATTTGCAGATTCTGAGTATATGTAGAAGAATTCTCACCGTTCCGATCATCATCGTCATGAAATGGTTGGTGGTAGTAAAGATCTCTAAATTCTTCAGACATAATTAAAGAAGAAAGAGTAGGAATAAGAATAAAAGGTTTATTTGACACAAAAGAGATTTGTTTGTTGAGGTATCTTTATTTGAGCTTTTGACAAGAAGCTGCTGATTGAATTTATTTATTTATTTTTCTTGGAGGGAGACTGCGAACTGCAAAGGGAGAAATTATCATCTTTGAAATGCAACTACTGACCCCACTTTGTAAAGAAGGTTTGACAATGCTAAGTTCATCAATCAAGACTGGTGTCACTGGTCATCTCTAAACCTTTTTTAAACAACCTCTTAGTACCAATTATATGTTCTTAACAATTAAGTATTCCATGTAGTTAGCATGTATTTACTCCTAGTTTATTGAAGTTTTATCAATTTTTCAACCGAATAAATTTTAGAGCTTGTTTGGGACAGCTCAAAATCGGATTAAAATTGAAAATATAGTCATTATTGGGTCTCACTCATCTAATAAAAGTCAACAATAACGGATAATTTTTCAATTTTAATCCGATTTTAATATCTACTGAACACGTCCTTAATTTTAGCCACACATTTCATAAAATCAACAACTTTTTTCAATTTTCCAACTACGAGCCTCTGTTTGATACCGATTAAAACCTAAATTTTAATTTAGGTAAAGTCAACAATTAATTTTAACAATATATTTTATGTATCTCACAACTTTTCAATCACACATTTCACCAATTTTTATAAAAATCTAATAAAATTTTGATTTTAATATTTACGAAACAAGATAAACAAGCTAAAATCTTTTCATACGATTAAGTCAAATTCAATATTCGACACCACTTCCGCTTATACTACAAATTGTCATTAAATTAGAGGAAGTACCATTCTACTACGGAGATTGCGTGATTAAGTTAAAGATGAAACCTGAATTAGGTTTAGGAATTAAAATGGTTGCTCGTTGGGGTTAGCAATTAGTCAACCATAACTATTTATGTATGTTTAACAGTCGAATCACGAGGTCTCTATTTGGACGGCCAGTCTTTATAACTGGGCTAATCCGGATAGACTCGCTCAACACGTGTGCCGGACTGGCACCGGCATTTGACCTTGGCGGACACGTGATTTGGCACGTGTGAGGTGCTGTTTGGTTCGCAATCTGCCCGTTAGGCGCCAAACTCATTACTATTGTCTCCGCCAAATGCAAATTTTCACCCAACAATTTTCTTTTGTTTGGCTACGAAATTCGCATGAAGAAAAATGAACAATGAAAATAAAGTGAAGGATATTAAGCCCATTTTATGAAATTTTGGAAAAAATATATTTTGAAATAATAATTTTTTGAATAAAAGTAAGAATATTTTTTCAATTTGCGCATAATATTATTTTATTGAAAAATGTATTGTTGAAAAATGAAGAAACAGAAAAATGAATTCAATTAAAATGGAGCCAAGACAAATGTGAATATCATGAAATATGAGATTAAAAAATTAATTATTGACTGTAATTTTTAAAATTTATTAAATGGGGACTAAGACTTGATATTGGGTCGAAAAAAGTAAAGAAGTCAACGGACTTTAAAAAACCAATTTTGAGTGAACATATCAATTCTTTAGTTAAAAATTTATTTATTTATTGATCTGTTCTTTTTTTTCTTTTCTTTTTTTAATTGAGTGGGCCAACCGGTCCATTCTTATAATATCGCCATTGGTAATATCTTCAATAATTTTCCCGCCGGAAAACACGAATAGAATAGCTAACTATAGAATAACAATTATTTAGATTGTCAACTCTACTTATATGATGCTTACATTTAAAAAAAAAGAATATCTCTTTCTAACACGAAGATATATACGAGAAGGTTGAAAATTGCATTTAAAAAATTATAATCTAATGTGAAAAAGCTAATTATTTATGTAAAACGCGCCTTTTGAGTTGTTAGTATCTATATATGTACTATTGTTATAATGCAAATTTTGACTATAAAATCGATGGAGGTGTAGATTCCTATGATATTATTGTAGCTGAGAATTATCCTGTCAATACTTGACAAAATATGTGTCAAAGAAATAATAATAATAATGGTCATTATTCATATTTAAAACGTTCAGATTTTGAATGAGTTGATTTTTCAATTTATTATTGAAGTCTCTGCTTTTATGATTTTATTTACATGCCAATTCGGCAAAGAATACTGGTCGTAGATTTAATTAATGTTATTCAGCACTGTTGGTATTAACACACAATTTATGTGGCACTAATGTGATATTAAGAGGGTGTTTGGTAGGGATTAAAATTAGATTTTTAGTAGATTGTGATAGATTTTTTTTTTTTTTTTTTATTTGTGGGGTTGAAAAGTTGTGGGACCCATGAAAAATGTGGTTAATATTGTTTGTTTGACTTTGACTTAAATTAAAATCAGATTTTAATTCGAACCAAACATGGGTTAAATGAGATGTATAATTAAATGAATCACTTAGTTAGACACTTAATTGAACATATCACTTAGCGTCACTTAAACTGGTGTTATAGCATCAGCTATTATTACGTAAATTTATGTTGTGTGTAAAAACTATAAATAATGCTATGCAGCAACACTAATGCTGGTGCAAGTGACAAGACTTCTTAAATGTAAATTAGTTTCATACTTTTAAGGTGATTTATCAATTAATAATACATATATGTCATATAGAATGACGACTAGTACCAATAATACTAGGTAGCATGCTATTGATAGCACGCGTTTTCCAATAGTAACTTCAATTGATAATATGAACTTGTAATGTTGATAGAAATATCAAGAATATTGATATTATCTCTTCTACCCACTCTCTAAAGTTGTGGGCTTAAAGGAGGAAGGTGTCTCCTAATATTGTTAGGTATAAGTGATAATATATTGTCCCTTAATTATTTGAGAAATGTTTTGGCAAAGTTAAAGATGTTTTTTTCGTGTTTATACTATCGAGTATGTTAGGAAATTACTTGAAGAGTTAGCATAAATGAACCGAATAAAACGGCCAAAAAAAGAAGATACTTGTGAGCTTGACTTCAAATTTTAATTAGAAAATTGCTTCGCTAGTTGCATTTGTTGAAAAATATAATGTTTATAAGGAGATGCACCTAATAAGAAGATGGTCAATGTTCACATTAGTTAGACATTTCGTAAAGCCGGACAAAAGCAGGTTAATTACTATATCCTAATGTAAACCTTTTTTTTTTCTAAGAAAATGGCTCCTAATGTGAACTATGTTTTTCACATGGTGGTTCATTAATTTAATTAACGGCCAGGAGCCTGTGTTAATATGTGACATCGGTTCCTACTTTGTTGAGTTGCTAGGTAAAATTTTTTTTTATGTATGTTATGAAATATTCACATGAATGAACACTAAGAAAAGGCCAGAAATACACGCGAATTCAAGATGAGCTAAGAAACAAAATTAGTTAGAAATCATTCAATCAAATACTGTCACATGTCACCAATCAAAAAGATTCATTTACTTCTAATACCTTAATAGAAATATATAAATATGAATGTTAGGGATGAAGAATATCATGCTGAATTTGAAATAACTTGATTCCGAATAGTCATTTATCCTCTTGTTCTCTATTGAGAAATAGAATAGTGAGTTGAGGAAGGAAAAATCCTGACTTGATGAGAGAAATTTGTTGATTATTATTTAGAGGTCAACAATGTATCAATCCGATGTCACGTATTAATTGGAAACAACTTAATTTAGGTAGGGATCATGTTGCTGAACTTATGTTTTTTGTCTCTATTTTTTCTTTTGTTTCTTCTAGAAGGATTAATTTTCTCTTAAAGTTTTTCTAGTCAATCAAAGTATTTTCAGAAAATCATTCAAAGATGTTCATAAGCATTTTCTTAAGTTTAGAAACAATTTTTGACTTCAAAAACTCTGTCAAACGGATATAATTTGCAATTATATTAGATCAATGACAATTTTTTTGTCAATATTTAAACATTTTGAGATTTCTTGATGTTGTTTGATAAAAGACGCATTTAAGATTGTCCGAGTTAACTAATGGTGATAAATGTATTTTATATACTTATTTGGACAAATAAATTATGATATTTGTTGTCAAATTTGATGAATTATAGCTTAATTATCTTTTATTTGTGTTTGGTAGGTAAAATTTGATTAAAAAAAATTGGGTGAATTGGACAAAAAGAGCGAAAAATGGCAAAAAAATGAAGAAAACCAAAGTTTGGGGATCAAATTGCACACTTATAATAGTTGAATCGGACTTAATATCCATGATGGGAAAATTCTTAGATTCAATTGGATGAAAATAGAAGCTGAAGGATCAAAATTGCAAGAAATTATCTCAAAGAACGAACTAAAATAACACTTGCAGAAAGCTTGGGACTAAATTGTACAATTCTGAATCTTGGAGAGGCACGGACGTTGGACACATTACTGCGCGTGCAGTGCTGAGTTTTGAATTACAGGAAACAAATCATGGCGCTGGCTCAAGGGCAATGTAATATACGGCGCAAGGAAATTAAAAAAAGGATCTGACGCAATTCCTTTTTAAATCAGAATTTTAATTCTTTACGCGTTTGGCTTAATTTTTGGATACCCATAAATACAAAACTTGATCAAAACATTGGGACGCCCTCTCTTGCCTCTTCATACACAATAATATCATCAAATTCATTAAGAACAAATGGTCAATTACTATATTTTGAGAGAAGAGATCAATCCTTATTAAGAAATTGAAGGTCAATTATCTCAAGATTTTGAAAAATTTGACATTGGACTTGAAGATTAACATCTTTTAAATTATTTCATGATCGGAGTGATATTTTTCTATTATTCTTCTTGCAATTTATCTATTAATATGCTATGCTAGATCCCTTTTTGTATTGGATGAAGATGAACCATATTGTTTATTTGTTTTAATTCAAGATTAGTAGTTTAATTTATTTCTTCCGTTTCTTGATGAATTTTACATACTCATTGTTTTATTTAATTGATTGGTCATCAATTAGATAATTAGTTGCTTGTAGTATTGAGAAACTCACAA